GACTGTCTACCAGCACAGAGCTGCGAATTCAAGGAAAGGAAAGAGACTTTCTATGTGACTTAAGGACAGCAGAATATTGGTGGTGCTCTTGTGTACACCTTGGGTACGATCTGTGGAGCTATAAGGTCCCTCATTTGCTCTGCCTACGATGATTTTCCCCAATTATTAGTGAATACGATATGGACTTCACTCTTGTGAGTGAATTATTATTTTATTTTTATTTATTTTGAATTACCTAAATGATTTTTCTTAATAACCTGGCTAGAGTTATCATTTTAATGTTTGCTGAAATTTGGATATGATACCGAAGGGTCTAATTGCTTAAAAATTAATTAATCGTAGCAGTGGAAATTTCATTATTCTTAAAGGGAATTACCATGATAAATACTTGATGTTAAAAATGAAATGAGTAAAATATTAGTGTTACCTTCATAATACAGTAGGATTTGAAAATGTTAACCTTAATTAATGTGAGCTGTAATTTAATGTGATATTATGTGTTATTTCGCATAGTATTATTGTAGTAGGGAACTGATCAGTTTACCCAGTTAATATATGTTAGAATTATTCAAGAAAATTAATAAATGTGTTTGTTCTATAATTTTATTGTATTTATTTATCTAGTGTGTATTTTTACGGTGGTCTGTCATGTCATTCCATTTGTTTGAGCTGGAGAGGCTTTTAAGAAACATGGAGCTTTTAATGAATTTGGTGTTATTGATTTTCCTTTTTACATGAGTTTCTCACAATGCGAACCTAAAATTTTATTTCACTACCACTTTACAATTAATGTTTTGGGTTTAATGATAGAAGGACATTTATGTGCTTAATTAATAGTTTTTTTTACTATGGATGATTATTTTTTATTTTTATTTTTATTTATTTATTTTGTTGTTGTTAGTTTATCCAGCATCATGAGACAGTTAAGTTGAATTTAAGTTTAAAAGTTTAAAACCCGTATTTTTCAACAATTCAACAGTTCAAGCTGTCCAATTCCTTCTTCAAGGGAGGACGACAAAATTATTACATCATCCATATGTACGGCAAAATAATACCATCATTAATTTAAGGTCAAAAATGGTGTTGGTGTACCTCTGAAATACAGCTGGGGAATTGCATAGTTCAAAAGGAACCTTTAGAAATTGATATTGTCCTTCATCTGTTACAAATGATGTATACTTTTTAATATCCCTCTTTACATCAATGTGGAGCCCAACCAGCGGCCGAGCGGTAATGTCGCTGAACACTGGTAGTTCGGTCCGAGGTTCGAATCCCGCGAACGGGCTGGCTGCATGGGTGTTTTCGTGGTTTTCCCCATGTGTAACGTGTATATGAGCCAGTTTCCCTTGGAAAGTCCTCCACGAAAGGCATCCCTCCCCTTAGGCAGATAGCCCTAGTGTGCTTTGCCATAATTAAATACACCAAACACCATCAATGTGGAAAAATCCATTTTTAATATCAATTGTACTAAACGCATGTGATCCCTGCAACTGATCTAGAATAATATCTTCAATTAATGGAAGTGGAAACCTGCCCTTTAATATTACTTTATTCAGTCTCCCTATAATCATTGCATAAACAAAGTACTCCGTATTTCTTTTTAACAATTAGAACTGGGCTATAATATTCTGAAGAGCTAGATTCTACTATTCCTTGTGCTAACCATTCAGCTACTTGAGCTTTCAACAATTCTTTTTTCTGAAAATGACAACCTACGAGGCTGATGAAATATAGGTTCATTATTTTTTTACCGAAATGTTCATTTCTGCGTTTGTTGTTTTAGTTTTACACGGTACATAACACAAAACTAATCGTTGCACCTTATCTCTGAAAATATTTAGAACATTAGATTCAATATTTACTTCGGTTTCATCACAAATTAAATCAACTGGACAAATAAATAAAGTATCTATTTCTTTTATGCACTGAGATGTGTTTCTAATCGTTACTCCGTTTTCATTTATTAGAGTTTCACCCTGCATTAACACATTAAGGCCTATGATGATTTCACTAGACATAACATCATTTTCCACTACACAAATGTCAGCATTACACTCAAAGCCATCAATTTGAATACTTTCGTTAAAACAGCCTAATAGTTTTACTCAACATTTTTCAAACCCCATCAAAGTAGAATTCGAAGATACGAGGGCTATCCAGAAAGTAGATTACGTTTTGGAATAAAAAAATAAACAAAGTATAGGAAACAAATTTTATTATATACAGATGAAAGCCACACTCAAATACTACTTTTCTACATAGTCACCATACAAATTAAGGCATTTATCGTAGCGATGTACGAGCTTGGAAATTCCTTCGTCGAAAAATTCGGCCGCCTGCGCCTTCAACCACTTCGTTACCTCTTCTTGCCTTCCATCTTGCACAAAACTTGTGGTAACCAAGCTTTTCGCTGATGATTTCGTGCAACAAACTTCGCGAAATTTGTGGAAAACTCAAAGAAAGTTCCGTTATTGTGAAATTTCGATTTTCACGGACTTTAGCATCGACTTTTTCGAGAAGTTCGGCGGTCACTATGCTGGGTCTCCCACTTCGATCTTCGTCGTGAACATTGGTTCGGCCATTTTGAAATCTTATGACCCACTGACGCACTCCACCTTCAGTGATAATGTTGTCCCCATACACTTCACGAAGCTGCCGATAGATTTCTATCGGTTTACAGTTTTTTTTGCAGTCAGAAACCTTATTACTGAGCGCACCTCGCAGCTCGCGGGATTTTCAATTAACGCAGACATTTCAAACCGTCACAGTATCTGAACGGAGCACAGCACGAACCTCTCACTAGCACGGCTAGATGCAGACTGAGCTGCGCAACGCTCTGACCCCAAGATGGCCGCGCTAGCCCCGCCCCTAGCGGACACAGACGGAAACGTAATCTACTTCCTGGATGGCCCTCGTATAATTCTTCAACAATTAATTTATCAAAAACAGATTTCCTAAGCAATCTTGCTTAACTCCCAGTGTCTATTAATGATTTTACTGTTAAGTTACCAATCATTATCATTTTGTTCAATTTCGATTCAGCATTAACATTCAAAGTAACTACTACTGTTTTCGAATTTGTTTTAGGACATTCTGAAGCTTAATGACCAAAAGATTCACATTTAAAACATTTAATTCCCTTATCTTTCTAAATATAATTTTTAGAAATATGATTCTTCAAACCACAAATTAAAACAAATTTTATTGTTACGACTTTCAGTATATTTCATATCAGATTTGCCATCATTCTTCAATTTACTTTCATTTGCGTTTTTTTTTTTTTTTTTTTTTTTTTAGTTAGTTTTATTATAATAATTATGTTTCATTTTTGTTCCATCAAAAGCACCTTTACTTTTTGCAAAATAGCCTTTCATTACTTCATATACTTTGAGTTTTTCTTGAAATTCAATTGTTTTTAATCTGTAGAGTATGATTTTGTTTTCATGCCTATCATTTATTCCTTAATGTAATCAGGCAGCGTCATCTATTTTTCCAAAATTACATAATTCTTTCAGTTTTAAGAAATATTCTTGAGTAGATTCAGTAGTTTTCATTTTTCTTTAACTTAATAGCTCATGTAAATTAGCAGAATTTATTTCAAAGGAGAATTCGTCAATTAAGGCTTTTTTCTTCATTTTGGCCACAAATTGAGTTCGTGTTTTATTCGAATAAATAATGCTACATTCCTACCAAATGATTGTTTGGTGAAGATAAATTTTTGTAAATCTACAAATTAAATAATGTACAGCATTCTCAAAATATTCTACCCATTGAACAACATTTTTGTGCATATACTTCGTAATAGTACTTTCGATATAAGGATAATTAATGTTAATACTCTGAATTATAGAATTCCCAGTAGTTACATTTTTACAAACATAATCACACTGTATAGAAGAATCAAGGTTACCTTTCTTATAAAAAATATCGTGCTGCATTGAAAAATCGTCTTCATTTTTATTTATTAATACTTATGTTTCCGATTCATCAGAGCTAGACTTTTCGGTGCCTTTTACATTTTCAGCTGGTGTTTCGTTATCACAGTAACGATAAAATTATTTTCGTTATTTCTGATTTATTGCCGTTAAATGAAATACTTAGAATATTAGAAATTGTGACTAGCTTATTAAAATGAAAAGCTTTCTTCTACATCTTTTAATTTTTCTTGAAATTCATCATTATCTGAAGCAAAGTCAAAACGAGAAAGGTCTCTAATTCTGTTTCTATTTGATCTATCACCGTCTGTATTGAAAATAAAGCTATGTAATGTTGTAATTTTATCTGCTTTAGAATTCTTCAGTGCAACATTTATTTGCTTTATTTCATTTAGAATTATTGTCAAATATGAAAAATTCGATATGTAATCCTTTTGAAAATGGGTGAACTTTACTAAGCCAGATGTGATGGTGATCAGGATGTAGGACAGATGACCGAGCGCAATCCAACTATGGGCAGGAAATCGAAAATAACTACTTCTGACACCATAATTATGTAGTTAAAGTGTTGATAATGAATAAGCATTATTATAATCATCACTATAATACATCAAGTAATGCTAAACTAAGATTTTATTTATTTACATTAGAAAAGAAAAGAAAAAAGAATAATCATCAAAACAAATTTTGGACACATCTCTCCTTGCTGTCATTCAGCCTTTGTCTTTCTGTGCACTCATCTAGATGGCACTTTTACAATCTTACTTACAGTTCCCTCAGAAGTAAGATGTGTCTGATGATCTCAGTTATTCAAAATATGGCCAACTTAAGCAGCCCCCCCCCATTTTAAAAAGCTTAACTATATTTATCTACATATATTATTGTGTTCACTAGTTTTACAAATTTAATGCATAAGGAACAAGTATAATTTTCCCATGTTATATTTTCTCATTTATATCATTTTATATATGCATAAATGTACAGTAAAGAAATATATGCATATGTTTATCTTTACTTACATCAGTGTAATGCATTATTAGTTTGTGTCCTTAATAAAATCTTCAGATATGGCAAGAGTATATAATTGGGATGTGAAACGTAGAGCTGCTGAGAAAGAAAAAAGTGCACCTGTACTATAGGAAATCTTGTCTAATAAATTATTGAAGATACTAATGATGTGTGTGTTTTATTAAAAAGGCACAATGTTTACTTTTAAGATGTAAAGATTACTTAAAATTTTTGTGAATTTTATTTCACTGAAATAAAAAAGTGTGAGTAATGATTTTGTAAACTCTATCAGCTTTTTTTATATTTCAGTGCTGTGAGCAAATCATTTTTCATAAATTATTCATACCTTTGAAAAGCCTATATTTGAACTAGATTTTTTTTTTTTTTTTTTTTTTTTTTTTTTTTTTTTTTTGTGCATTGATAAATTTGTATTTGTATCATGACCTGAGATCACACGCAGCTCTTAGGGTGTGTAAAAAATATACACAATTGTAAATTATAAACAATAAATAGTACTTTTAAGATTTTTATTAATTAATTAATTTTTCTATGATGTTATAACTTAAAACATTCAGTATTTAACAGTTCATTGCCTATTGAAAACATTAATATTATTATTATTATTTTTTTTTTTTTAAATATGTTGTTTTCCTTTGTTGTACTGTTTAAACATTTTGTCAAGAAATATCAGATCAGTACCAAGATGCATTTTTTTCAATTTCTATTCTTTTATGAATTGTCTTTCTATAAATTAAATACAAATAGATTTTTATTATTTCTTTAATGCAAAGGAAAATTACAGGTTTCTAATATTAAAAAGAGGAACAGGAAAACCTTAATAGCTATTAATCTTGAAATCTGCAGGTAAGGAAGGTAGTGAGAAAGCCGATATTTTTTTTTTTTTTTAACCTAGTTTATTCATTATCAGAAGTTCAAGGTCTGTAGCCTGTTCCTCCAATAAATGTTTTCGGGATGTCCTTCAATGAGTACAGCCATCTTGACCACCACAAAAGCCTCCCTGCAGGTAGTCTGTCTCTTTTTGCAGTCTTTGACGCTGTATTTTGCTCCATCCTTTGAGATTGCCTTTTTTTTTTTTACCTTTCCCCGTGGGTTTTTCAACCCAAATACCTTTGGCAATTTTCAGTTCTCGCAATGTTTCTTTTTTTTTGTGTGTGTGTGTGTGTGTGCTCCGGACATTATCTTTTTTATTTTATCAAGATAGGCAGACATGCTTTTAATAGCTTCCTTCCATTCTTCAGATGTTGATTGAGTAATTTGAGTAGAGATTATTTCTACCTCACTCAATGAATGATTAATTTCTGCTCTTTTGATTGATTTCCTTTAGGTTTCCTTGTTTTGAGAAGAAAGGTTTACCCAGCGCCGACGCAAGATTATCCAGCACCCGCCTGCAAAATAACTGAAGTCACGCCCTCCCCTTTTTAAATTTTTGTATTGGAGTATGTTTTGAAGAAAACATTTGTTGATTTTTTTAACAGTTTATTGAGAATAATTTATTTTACTGCATTTCATATTTACAAATTTTTCTATAAATTCTTTTGCATCTATCTCTTGACAGATTTTATTTTCAGTGGCTATAAGAGCTAGATTTATGAATCTTTCCTGCAATAACTTCATCCAATGTAGCTGATGTTCTTTGGCTAGATGATGTCTGTTCTTTTGTAATCGATTCTGATTGAATGTGAACATCATTTACGTCCGAAGTACTCTTCATCTTCTTTATGAAATGAGGTATTGCATCTGCCTGCTTCTGAAGGGCAGCATCTTTTTCAGCTTTGCATTTACGATTCTACGCATGGGATATTTCTTTTTTGTTTCCATATTATCAAAATTTCATTCTGAAATTTAAATTTAAAAGTTCTATTCTAAATATTAAATATCTTGTCGTCTTTTTAAAATAAACCATGACATCTGCTAAATATAGAATAAAGATGAAAAATTAAAAAAAAAAATGAAGTTAATGAAAAACTAAGAAAAAATAACCTTTTTCATGCAGCTGGTGAAGAATTGTCATCTTTCTAACAAACAATAAGGAAAAGTTTGACCGTGTGATGAGTCAAACTTAAATGCTTGCCAAGGGCTTCGTGTACAATGACCCTGAAACCTCTCTCTCCCCAAACACCAGCTAAGTCTACTTCAATCCATTTGTACACTTACCACAACAGGACTGAAAACAAAGCAAACAGGTACCAGTTCACGGCGAACGTTAACTGCATAATAATGCCCCTGTAAATATCCCCCTCAGCACATTCAACAGCTTTAGAAGTTGTCAATCTTTCCTTTTGATGTCGCACTGTACTATTACATTACCTTTTGTAATTGAACTATTGTGAAATTCTAATGTTGATTTTGTTTATTACTAGCCTCAATCTTGTAAATGCTTTCAATGTTTTATTGTATTGTTATTTTTTTTAATATATCACCTGTCAACAAAAGCCAGATTTGTAAAAGGCATCACAGGCAAAACCGCTGTTGTTTGGACATGTAATTCATAGACAATATCTAAAAATGAACCGTCCACAATCAAACTTCTCTTCTCCAAAATTCTCATAAAGATGGAATCAACAGATGTCCCGGAAGGGCGGCAACAAATGGTTCGATTTCCCCGATGGAGGAGTACAAAGTCTTAGCAACAGACAGAATTGTGTACACCTTGTGTGGTATTTTGAAGTTCAATTTTCTATGTAAATACTATTCATACATTTTGAAGAAATAACCATTAAAAATGCCCCTAAAATTAAATTCAACATCTGAAATGCTTCTAGTTGAGTGGATTCAGAGGATTGTCGTCCTTTGGATTTTCTCCAAAGGACGAGAAGGAAAGGAGACAATGCGTATCAAGCACGTAATCAGAAAATTTCAGAGGAGGAAAGTGCAAAATATTTTGCTAATATACAAAAAATATATGTTTACATCTGGAATGAATTCTACTGTGTGTTGTAAAACCAAGCTTAAATGACCAATGTAGACAATTCTCTTCTTAGCTTGAGGGAATTAATCAAATTTTGAAATTTCAACCATTAACGAGAAAGACAAGGTCTTCAGGGAATCCGTTGCAGCATTCCACAGCAGAGTACAGGGCGAAGCTCCAGAAGACAACTTAATATTAAAAATCTAATAAAGATTCTCAACGTTTTATGAAAATAAATGAATATAAAACTTCAGTTCTTTACCTCGGGCCCCCTGCCTATGTGCCTAATGGGTTAGCTCCTTAAACGGCATTTTATATCTCTTTTGCCTTTCTGTACAAACACGTCGGGGAGTTTAGCCATTAAATAAATTGTATAAACATTGAGATTTTGTACTTAAACTATAAACCCCTGCAACCCACTTCTCCATGAAAGAGGAAAATAAATCCTCTATACAACTTGGAATATTCTATTATATTGGAATTTTCGTCCATGCAAATCTTGCCCCTCCTCTCCAACTCCCGTGAAGAAAATAAAAAGTTGTCATCTGTGTTCATTCTTACATATGGGAAAATGACAAATGTACCCCCCATAGAAAGAGCTAGTCAGTTCCCCTCCTCACCCTCAGAAAAATTTTCTAGGAGAGAAAAAAGCCACATTTCACTGTGCACATTTTAAACAAAAATATAATAAAATTGATTAAATAAGGATAAATAGGAATTGTTTTATGTAAAATAAAAAAATAAGTACGTACTTCATCAAATGGGTTTTTCTTATCTAATAGAAATACGGTTATTGTACATCAAACATTTTCTTCGCCAACCACTCAATAATTATGAAGAAGAAATGTGTAGATGATATGTAACACATGGCTTTCTAGACACATGGAAATGACCATTATATGGTACTAGGGGCTCAGAAGGGTTGTTTTGAATAGTGCACAATGTCTGCATGTGTAGACGGTGTACGGTATTATCTAGATTAAACTTGCTCACAGCTTGAATTTCCACGGCTTATTGAACTCCAACTTCTTTGTATAACACTGTACCTAACGACTGATAGATGGGTGGCAAGGTATTTGTGTGGGCTGGAGAAGAAAGGTGAGAGGTGCAAACACCTATGGTCTCTATCCTGTGAAGCAGTCAAATTTTTCTTCCACAGTAAGTACACATTCTTTTGCATTAAAACAAGAAAAAAGACCTCTGTGTCGTTGGCTGGTCGGTGCCCCTCTCTCGGTTGGTGCCTGCCTGCAAAGAATACCTTGCAGCCCCCTTCCGTGGGACCTGGGTCTACCCCAGAGATTTTGCGTGCAACAGCAGAAATTTTAGTTGTCATTGAGGTAGAAATGACCTTTACTCAAGTTAGTGAATAAATTGAGTAATTTATGTTGTCATTTTTAGCCTTATATTAAACTAGAAAAGAAAATGCAGAATAAAAAATATCCACCCATTATTGCGTGTTGCTGGGTAAGACAAAATTCTCTAGCATTCTGGAGAAGTTGAATTCTCTAGAAGTTGCCAAGCATTCTGGAGGCTTCGTTAAGACTCTATAACCGCAATGTCATTCAACCCAGATACGAGTCACACCAGGGTTGCAGGAGGGGGTTCGTGGCTCCTTATTATTCGAAGCTATCTTGTCGGATAATACAAGACATCCGACTATCCACGACCTGCCGACGTGCGTGATAGAAACTCAAGCCCCAAGCAACGAGAGCATACAAAACCCATAAGTCCTCCAGTGCAATATTAAAATCTGAATTCTTTTTCTTTTTCTAAGTTCTACCATAAGTTAATCTGTAAGTAATGTTTAAAATTACTCTGTATTTTAAGTATTATATTATCATGAAATTTTTTGAAGTTATAAATGCCAAATGTAACCAGAGGATAACTAGAGATTTAATGAATAGTTTGAATTAATATTGTAGTACTAATTTTGTCTTGCTTGTCACTAAGATACTTAATATGTTCTTCGGATATTGTAGTATGAACGCTGAAATTACATATTTCATATTTTTCAACTAAAATTCTTGTTTTCTGGCAGAAGGTAAATCTTCACAGTGGTTACAAATTATACACTATTCTAGATGAAGACAACATTTACACTGTTTACTGTACGTTAGTTTAGAATGTGAATTCTTTAGATATAACCAAGTTGAAATTTCGCAACAAATGTAAAACTAAAAATGAAATTGGTTGATTCTCTTTTTCCCTCTTGCAAAATATTTTTAAAGTTTAAAATGTGTGTGTATCATGTTCTTAATTCTTTCCCATCCATTATTTAGTCAAAAAAGTTTAAAATGCGTATGTCTCCTGCTTGTAATTCTTTCCCATCCGTTATTTAGTCATCAGTAATTGTTTGTCCTAATATTCTAGGATTCATCACTTAGGTAGGTTTTTCTTATTTGCTTTTAGTTATCCTCATATTTTTTTCTTCTTACTTTCATGGATTCCTTAATATATTTAAATTTTTTTGTTGATTACCAAAGTCTTCAGTCATTACTGTCTCATTTTGGAATTCTAATGTTACATAACAGCAGCAATCAGAAATAGCTTCCTCCCCCCAAGTAGTTTTATAAATAGCACTTATTTTTTAGCAACACTGCAAAAGTTAGAAGTGCAGTTTTTTGAAAGCGGAATTATATAATATATCACTTTTTACATGACTGTAGTGTGTAATATTCAATTAACTTTGAGCTGGTTAACATTTATTAATTGTATAACTCTGTACATTTTATTTTATGAAGTTATGGATATAATATAAAAACATTTTAATTATGTCAAAACTTGAACTGTTTAAAATCATTTTTTAAAGGCACTTCTCATCTGAATCAGATTTATTAGTTAATAAAAGAGCATCAACTTTTGTGCCATTATGTCAGAGAAGAAATGACTGCCAAAACATGGAATGAAAAGCAACATCCTTCTAAATTATGCAAAAAATTATGTAGTACTTTTAATTCTAATAATATTACTGTTTTCAGTATGTTTCCACAATTTAGTTTCTTATCATAATAGACTATTGGAACATTTCTGAGCTATATCTAATTAGTAATCTGTAAGGTTTACCAGAAAATTCTGTCCGGTTGGGAAGCGAAACAAAAATAATACACTTTTCATACCTTTAATAATGATTATTGTACAGTATAGTTTCCATAACTGCTTATGACATTTTGCTAGCATGAAGGTAATTTGAAAATAGTATCATTTTTTTAAAATATCTTGTCCTTAGAGGTAAAGAACTCAAATAGTGCTTTGCTGACACCTGCTTCAGTTTTGAATTTTTTCTTTTAAAAATGTTTTGCCAGAAATGAAACAGGTGACAATCAGAGGATACGAAGTCTGGGGAGTGTGGTGAGTATGGCAGAATTTCTCGGTCTAGCTCTGGGATTTTCTGACAAGTGGCCAAAGCAGCATATGATCTGGCATTATCATGATGCAGTACGATGTGCTTCCTATTGAACATTGCCAGCCTCTTTTCTTTGACTGTTTTGAATAAACTATCGTTTTACTCACAGTAGCTTTCCAAATTGAGCTTTTTGTTAGGTTTCAAAACCTCATAATATATTCATTCTTGGATACCCCAGCATATGCACAGGATTCTCTTACTCAGGCTGAAGCTCGGTTTAGAGGTGGTGTGGGCAGGTTCTCGAGACTTCACGGCATGCTTTTTTTTATAACACTGTTTTCGTTTAAGTAATCTGCTTTTCATCACGATTATCATCTAATCCAAGAAAGCTCGTTTTTGTTATGAACAAGCAGAGATGTGCATGTCATTACTCCATCATACAAATTTTTCTGACATAGGCGATTTGTTGACAAATATCACAGTCAGCATATCGCAGTCGGCTCTCCTAACCACTATGTTGGAAAATATGACTTGTAGTAAACCTTTTACTGCATCATCTCTCCTCCTTGAAATGTTTATTAGGT